TTCTCCTTTCCAGGTCTATTTGGAAGGAGTGCACCACCAAAAGCCAAAATCCCATGTTACTGTGGTATTTATTGGAATAGGCTTAATAGTTGGCATTATCTTGTTTTTGCTTCTTTCATTAATATTATGGAAGGTGGGTTTTCAGTATTTCTCAGTTGTTCTCAAGTCAGGAATTCACACTGTTAGTGGATCTTTAGATCTGTTAATGCAGGTTAAAAGATAAATAATATTTCATTATGATCTGTCCTTTCTAAAGAAACTTAATTCCTCCTGTAACTCGTGTTTTTTCAAAATCCTCCTCCATTTTCCTTCATTTTATCTTCTATGTATTCTACATCTTCTGTTATTCAACACCACACGCCCCTTCCCATGCTTTTTATGGCATCTCATGTTTGCAAATGATTTCTATAATTTAATGATATCAAATGAATCATTTTTATGGGATAGTGCTCCACATTTAATGGCACTTGATACATGATGAGTAATAGTCTACAATATAGTTTCATGCCAGAATAAAACGTTTAAGATTTTAAACTGCAACATAAATGCTAAAAAAGTCCTGTGCGTAAGTAAAAAAGGAAACTATGAAGGATGCAGCTTCTCTGACAAGCACTTAAGAAATTGGTAACTTCTTTACCTGCGTGCAGACTTTCTCCATCCATTGTTTTTACCAGGGAAGTGTAGAAATGAAACAAGTTTAACAGGAAAGTTTTATTACTATTTCACATTTGAAAAAATACTGGATTCTGTGGACTGTTACAGTTCACAAGCCCATATGTCCTTACTCCTTGAAGGTGAGTATTAACCTCCAAAAAAGTAAAGAAAAAGCAACCCCACTTTTTTGATTGATGAGTAACGCTTGATTTGGTATGACAAAGCAATGGCAAATACCATCATTCATAAACAACACCCTATACATTTTATTTTAGTTCATCTTTTATGGTTTAGATTTGATAATAAAAATTGCTGACCACAGATTCCAAAATTATGTATTTCAGATTGGCTTTTTCAAAAGGCAATACAAACCAGTCCCTCAAGACAAGAACAGAAGAGACAGCTGGAGTTTTACAAGTGGGAACAAAGATGACTAAGATGGCTAATAAATGTTTGATTTTAAAATGAAGAATTTAAGATTCAGGTTAATTCACAGGAGAAACACCAGTGATGAGAAAACTGGTCTTTAGCTCACTTGCTCTTACAAAATACACTTCTTTTCCCTTGAAGTGAATGGAGGACTACACCTTAGAGTACTGTTGTTTTTCTAATATGAACATGGTAAAACAGTTTGTTTTGAAGTCTCAGAGTAATATTTGAAATGCCATATACACACACACACATATATATATGATTTCAAACAGACAGAAGAACACTAAAGATAAAGAGAAGAATTATTACTGGAAAGAAGAATTTCTAGAAAGTAATAACATTTGGCCAGTCCTGGAAAATAAGATCTCAAACACAGTAGTGCAAATTATTCTATTCATTTTTAAGTTTCAATAATCTTTTGATTAGACATTCAAGAAGAAATGCTCCCTCGTCTTGCTTTGTCACTTTTACAAAGGTGAATTAGCTCAAACCAATAGGAAGACTGTAAGTAGAGTGCACGGATGTAGAAAATAGCTATCAGAAGCCCTCTTGGGCTTCTGAAGGTAACTTCGTAAGCTTTGGCTTCGCAGGCACAGCCACAACACTGCAGAGACTCAGACACCCAGACAAGCCAGAGCCAGGAAGGTCAAAGGTGGATTCAGAGCAGGAAATTCTGTGGCATGGCCTGGAGATGCAGCAGAGAATCCTCTCTCAGCTGTAGAAGAAGTAGTGTGTTGGAGACCATACTTGTAGCCATCTTTCATATGGTACTTGCAAGCATGACAGAATTAGTTGTTCTGTCCTTTCCTCAGATACTGCTGCCATGATGCTTTGGACTTCTCCAATGAAATACTTCTATATGGGGCTTTTTAAAGTACATATTTATCTTTATTTATTTGAAGATTTTTCTATAGTACTTAGCCTAGTAGCATTCTTCCAGGACTTGGAAAAAAAAAAAAAACTTCACATGATGACAAAACTGAGAACCACACACTGAAAAGACACCAAATGCCAACCTTACTGGGCCAAATTTTATCTTTAGTTGTGCTACTCTTTTTACTTGAAAGTACTTAATAAGGACGATATTTGGTGAGCTAGCTTGGGGTTTTTGTGAAGTCTTCAGATAAATATCATCCAAACAGGCATCCCCAGAAGGCACTCAGCGGAAAGGCAAATGACTGAATACAGGTTGAAACCACTGCTCTGCTACTACAGGAAGCTTCTTCAGCTAGATAAGTTTGCACTGCCACCTAGCTTTGGTGAAATAGCACAAACCAGGGGGAAAAAGTAAAGTTATTTGCTCCCCAGTACAACTGGAGAATACACCACTTCTTCAATAACTGAAGGTATTGTAACAGCAGTATGCAATATGGCCTTTCTTGCCACGCCTTTGATGTCTTTCTGAACTGCAAGGAGAAGTGAAGGTAGTATGTACATACACTTTGAAGCTGCACCATCATACGGGGACTCAGCCTGAGACTCAAAAGCAATACGGAGCGCCTTCAGCAAGCACTTTTGCTAATAGAGCGTTTGGTGCCATAAAAGCCACATTGTCCACAGATTCTAAAGGTATTAGGGACCATTTTGTAACTTCCTTTCACTTCATTTGATGCCAAAGATGTGGATCACTCTAAAGTAAATTTTCTCTCTCAAATCTTCTGCATTGTGTAAGGACAAATGAATGTGCATATATTTAAAAAAAAATAAAATCAAAATTAAGTATGTGAAGAATGAAAAATTTTCTTCCAAGTCTAGGAAAATATACACAAAATGCTTATCTTCCAAATGGCTTTAGTGACTTTTTGCACTTTAACCAAAATATCTTTGAACAGAAATTAGTTTGATATTACAGCATATTGTGAAAAATATACCTCAAATACTGGAAGAAGCATTAATGTTCTTTTTAGTACAAATGATGCAAAGAAGTGAAACTAAAGCATTTTATTTATCTTTGAAGCAGTTTACAGAAGTCAGTACATGTGATAAAGTTGCCTTGGAAATTGTATCCTTCCTATTCAGATTTTATTATTAACATGTAAATGTTGGCTGCCTGACTTTAGGATATGAAGCAAAATTCAATTAGCTTTTATAAACCAGGTTGACAAAAAATGAATGTACAATGTCCCAATGGTGGCAGGGTTATAAAGTATCGTTCAATTTCATTTTATTAAAAAGAACTCCAACAAATTAGGCACATGAATGCTGTTTCTTCTGCAAGTTCAATTATTTTGTTAATTTTCAGTTAAATCTACTAAACGTAGCTGGAATCTCCTTCTTAGACAACTTGAGGAAGTTTAGTTTGCATCATCTTAAGATGTTAAAAATATTTAATGTGATACAGTATCAATTATAGTAGTTCAAGTGGAGACTACTCACTGTGACTCAGACAATGGCTATAAACTGAAAGGAGAGGTTCCAGCCAGTCATGAGGAAAAACATTTTCCTCATGAGGACAGCAAGGCATCGGAACAGGGGTGCAGAGATGTTGTGCTGTCACCATCCTTGGAAGTTTCAAGGCCAGACTGGATGAAGCCCTGAGCAACCAGATCTGATCTCACAGCTGGACCTGCTCTGAGCAGGAGCTTGGGCTACAGCCCTGCCCGGGCCACAACCAGTTCAAAGAATGCTGTGACTCTAATCCTATTCTGCAGCCACTAACTCCAGAAAGAGCAGAACTAGCTGTAAGATTCCTATAATAATTACTTGCCTATGAATTTGGGCTCTACTCCTGACTAGGTTTGTCTGCAGAAACTGCATGAGATTTCCAACACGTAACAGCCTGTTCTTAGGAGACAAATAATCATCTGCAGTACTACTTTGTCTTGCGTATTTATCACAGGTAAGAATTTTCCGCAAGTACTATTTCAAATCAAATCAAATATAGTAGCTATAGATCCCACGTAAAGGCTTAGGCCCTTGATTTAACAAAATCTTAAAAGGACTGGATTTCACATTATACTTGACTGCTTACTGAAGAAAGAACTTAAAGCAACTCATCCTAGCCCTGAGACAATGCAGCTTTCATACCATTATTTGTCAGATGCCTTCTGAACGATTCATAGACAAGTGAGCAGGAAAACGTTCATGATCCCCTCCATGGTCCTACAGACGGACAAACTTGTGGATCTGCTACTCTTCATCATCTCAGAGAAAGCCAGTTCTCAAAAAGAATTTAGTCTTAATTTGCTGTCATCTCAAATAATTGTATTAAATTCTTTCTAAGTTACAAAATATCAAACACTCATAAAAATTATGTTTATGCCCTATAAGGAAGTTATAAAAATTTAAGTCAACTCCTAAGTTATTTATCATAACTTTATTCTCAGCAACAACAAAAACTATGCTGAATATCATTTCAGTTCTAGGATAGATAAAATATTTTTTTTAATTAATTTTGTACAGAGAGTAGTCTTTAAAATACATTTCAACAAAGAAAAGCCATGTAAGACATAAGCGTATTCTTTTGTATTACTGTTTGACTAGAAATAATTTGAAAGCAAATATATTAAGGCAACATTAAAAATGATAACTAGAAATGGAAGTACTTGGTTTTTTTTAAAAAAAAAAAAAAATCTATATTTTGCCACCATTCTTCAGCGTGAGGTGGTACCACTCCTCCACTCACCAGCTTTATTTGAACTGAGAGTTACCTGACAACACTGATAACAGCAGCAGACTTAAAAGTATCTCATACTATATTTATTGCAAAAGCTAGAATAATTTTAAAGAAAAGAAAATTCTCCTATTCTAATGGAAAATTCTCAAACCCCAAATTTATAAGAGACCAATATAATCAGTTTTCATTTTTTCTTGTTAAGCTCAGCTGTTTCTTTGCAGTTAAATACCACCTGATAAAAATATATAACTTGATAAAAATTTAAAACCAGAAATATTACAAACATCCCAGTTAAGCTTTTGCTACAACAACTGAATTCAACGAGTGAATGACTGGGACCTTGGAAAGCTGGGCACAGAGGTGAGAAAAGGGTTCTTTCATACAGAACTTGCAGTGTGTCCCTTCTATATGCAGTTGCATGTTGCTTGGTAACTCTCCAGGTCATCAGTGTTCACTCCATAGAGATTAATAAGTTGAGGATGCACCCTGTGAAGTGAGGAAGTCAAACTATCAATTTCATTAACTCTTGCAATGGATGTGCCACTTTTTTTTTTTTTTTTGGGGGGGGGGGGGCAGGGGAGTGGAGAACAAATATGTGTGAACTGCTATATGGAATAAAATTGCGTTAATTACATTTTGACAATTCCTATAAGTTCAGCTTTAGAAGTATATATTGTATATCCTATAACATGATTTGCCTTTTATTTTATATACCAGACTGTTACTCTGAGCTCCGTGCCTTCAACTAATCCTGCGCGCATTGTAGAAGAATGAGCCACTGCCTATTTAATTCTGCTGATAATCCTCCTATTTCCCTACGTATTCATAGTCTCTTTCTTAGATCCTAGATCTGGAGACTATTCTCAAGCAGCACTAAGTTTCCCACAATTGAACAACTACGTGTTTTTATTAACTGTACACACACTGCTTTCCAAGCAGGAATCTTTATTCCAAAAGGAGCTCCTCCCAGGAGTCAGACCTTTATATATGTCTATTCTCCTCTAAGAAACAAGGGTAAAGTAACAGGCAGAAAGAAGAGCAGAAGTGGAGCTGGAAGCTGATGAAGCACCAGAAAGGAAAGGCCATGTGGATCATAACAAACCTTCCAAAGATAGGCACAAGGCAACAGGGCAGAGGCCCAAACAAGGGCAAAAGGGCCAGACTATGCAGTGCACAACAGTACTCTTCTTATAACCCAATTTTGGTCTCATCTGTATTACATACAGATGAAATACATTTAAGATTGCAGTACTAATCTGTTACAGGTATACAGTCCATAAACGTAATACTTAGCCATACCGAACATGAACTTCTGATGCTTCTTTCATTAAGTCTCCATCTATATTCCAAGGGTAATTTTCTTCTGCAGAAGCAGCATTCAAATATCTATTTTCTTTCACGTCAGGACCACTTTTAAGCCTTGGTTGTACTTTTACTTCTTGAACTGTGTAGGTCTCAACAAAGGGAAAACTGAACTAAACCAAACACAGATATATATTAAATGAAGATGAAAGATATAGGTGGTAGCTTAGCAACAAACTGGATTACTTGAAATTAAAAAGCTTGCTTTTTTTTTTGTCTTAAGTAAACGGAAACACTTAACTCAAGCTTTGACCACAAGAGGCATTATATATTCCAGCTAGCATTTATAGATTAACATGCTATTTTTATCCTAAATAGTGCCTCAGAAAAAATGGAAGTGTTCCATTTGCATTCCCATATTGGATTTGCTCAATCTACAGGTGAGGCGGTATAGTTTGCACACAACAAAATGGCACACGCTTTCAGAATATGTGAAAGTCCAAGTGGATTTTTTCCTGTCCTCTGTTCATCATTACCAGTAATCCTGTCCTAAACAAGGCTAGTTAGAATTCTAGTAAATGGTCATCTTTTAAAGTTTAAAGGAGGGTCTACATCTCCTTATCTAATTTCTAATTACAAAGGCAGAAAGAAAAGCAAAGCCTTCCTCCAAAAGCATAACTGGAAAGCTAAAACCATTTCCTAAGTGCAGCTGTTAGTACTGTCACATGGAATTGTCACCCACCTCTCCCCCAAACTCTCTGACTGTTGACAAATTCAAACGTAAACCTTTTAAAAGTGATTTCAGATGATCCTGAAACATTTGAACGAGTACCAGTGTGCTTAGGCTATGCATCGGGTCTTCAGGACACCAATAAGGCACTGTGTTTGGATGCTTCGTTTTTCTTTTCAGACAGAATAATGGCCACAATTTTGAAAAGCAGTTCTGCAAACATTCATAACTAGATGGAATGCATACCTGCTAAAAATCCACGGTCATAATCCACTGCTACCAGAACAGCATGCAGTGATCTGCTGAAATTACGGACTTTGCCTATTTCTGACAAAGGTTGCATGATGCCCTCCCAGTCTGCATTCTTGATCTCTCTACTACACAAAATTTAACACAGCATGCTTTTCCTTTATTGTGGTGAAAGGGCTTTACACCCATAAAACTATGGTACAACACAAATACAATTTAAACCAGAACAGATGGGCTGAAATAGGCTAATCGGTATTAGTCTAGTGATTTAAAAAAAAAAAAAAACCACACACCAAACCACAGATAAAAAGGGGGCTAATGTATTCTGACAGGAAGCTAAGTCTCCTTATGAGGATGCTAACATTAACTCTTGCAGCATGTCTACCTTCACAATTAACTGTTCTTTTTATAATTACTAGAAAGAAATTAACAGTACCTGATTTTTTACGCTGGCATATCTTTTCAGATGTTTTATAAACTCTGTTCGAGAAGTATTTTGTACAACAATAAGAGCCATGCTTCCATTATTCAACCTGAAAAGCAGACCAGTTTAGTTCCTAGAAGAAAATTCATTCACTTGGAAGTTTAACAGACTCTTCAATAGTCTAGATTAAATAAAAATAAAAGCTACCGAGTAAATTAAATCTTTTTGCCAAACCCCACTCCCATAGATCAATATAAACTACGCAATTGAGGTTATTTAGCATCAATACATTTATAACATACACTATAATAATAAAATTGTACTCCCTTATCAATATCCATAATTTATTGAACATAATACATCTAATTTAAAAAAAATGCTTTTCTACTTAACAGATGCTTTTTAAACATTGGGCATCTCAAATTTGTCTTCTCACTTTTCTCTCCAGCAAAGTATAATGATTACCATAAATGCTGTGAGGCAGAGCTTTATGTAGAAACCATTCCCATGATGCATGCAAGGACATCCCCATCATACAGCTCAGTGCAGGTGGGTTCTTTCACCTCCTCCATTAACACTCATGCTGCCTTAACAAAGATCCTGATCTTCAACTATGCCGCTATTCAAACTCTCTCATCAGGTCTCAGTACAGTTCTACTCACACATTTCACAAAGCACATAAAAGTTAAAAACTAAGAGAATTTTGTACAAGATAAAAGAGTCATATACTAGAGATTAACCAAGAAGACCCTACAGTGCAGATACTCAATGGTCCTAGGTATCCAGTCGCCATTGATATTTTAGCATCTTTGAGAACTTGGGTCAGACAATGAGCTAGTATCAATTCACAAATGCCTTAACGCAACTGTACATTGTCGCAGAAGCTAACAACCTGAATCTCAATGCAATCATGCCTAAGTCCCGTTTAAGTTATAGAGACAAATCAATGTTCACCAAGAGTTTCTGATAAACAACCACTGCTGAGACTGTATTCTATACAGAGATGATGTATTTCATATCTTCTAAATATATATGGATATATATACATTTATTTATTGAGCATGTATGCTTGGAATATATGTTAAGAATGTTTAAAAAAAACAAACAAAACACAAACTTCCATCCTGCCACCACAGATCTCTCCCCACTCATAGTACTCTGGCTACTGAACAACCACATCAGGAATGTTCTCAGACTACAATACAGCACAATCTGGAAAGATAATTTTTATGTAACTATTAAACAAGTCACCTGGCATAGCATTACTTTTCTGATTTAGAAAACAGTGATGGTGAAACTGAAGAAGTTGCCTCCTTATCATATTTGCTGCAATAAAAGGGCACAGCAGGCTACTGGGCAATGCATTCAGCACTATGGCCTTTTATCTTCAGATGACTAAGAATTCTCATTAATTCTCTTGAAAGTCCAATTTGCAGTGAAGCATAACACCTATGCTGTGAGAAACAAACATCCCACACAGTTTACATAGTGCAGACATTTAAATGTATCTTGACACCTTTCTGCAAACTTAGACTAGTATAACTAGAGTTACAGGCAGCATTCAAAGATTTCATTCCACTTCAAATGTCTTCACAGGGCAAAAACCTCTTGGAGAAAATAGGAGAGAGTGAAGAAACCTAGCTGACACTTCCATAATGGGTCTTGAGTCTCTAAGAATTAGTGCAAAATTTATGTTTCCCTTATTGAAAAGCACTACAATCAAGATGCTATTCACTATGAGAAATCAAGCACCTGTCTGAAGAGTCTACCTTCTTATTCTACTAGTTGACTGTACTCCTGAGATTATTTTTAAAAAGAGAGGGAGGGGAAAAAAAAAGAATAAAAATATGTCCTTATATGAAAGGATAGGGGGATCCACTGAGCAACTAACACTGCGGGAGAAACAGGCTTGTTCAAACCTGCAATTGCATGGAGTTGTCATAAAATTCCCCGTCACTGAGAAACAGGTGCCAGAATAGATGGAAAGAGAAACCAAAGCTAAAAAAAGTGTAATTTCTTCAATTCTTGTCACAATTTTTCTACTGACATATACCACATATAACATACTAAATGCTGAACAAAGTAAGTTCCTAAGAGGGGACAGCATCAGGGCACTATCTTGAGGTATATGAGGCTTAGCGGGACCCCTGTAGCAAAGAAAACTTCTCAATAAGAGTTTCATCAAAGTATTTGTTTCTACATTGTTTCCAAGAAGTCAAATTCTACTGGATCAGCAAGTAATTTTGAAGAAAATACTTGATCAATTCTACGGCACAGATATTTTCACCTAATGGTAATCAAATGAAATAAAACAGGCTCATTTCATAAACTTCCCTGAGTGTTGAGGATTTTTTTTTAACATACACACATGCACACATATATATATCTATCTCTACATATATGAGTTTCTGCATTCTTTTTTGAGGGAGCATGTTGTATTTCACGTACAACTATGAAGTTTGAACTTGCTATTCTGCTTAATCATCAACTGGATACATCAAGTACAAATATTTATCACCTGATAACTGTTTTGATCACCACAAAGCATACTCTCGACAATGAGCTAAAGGCAAAATGAGTCAATGTCAACAACCAGATTACATACTCATTTGTTTCCTAAAACCCTATGTGTAGAAGCTGCATTTCCCAAATTGGGGGGGGGATAAAAAAGGGGAAAAAAGGGGGGAGGCAAGGAGGGGCAAGTGGGGGGAAGTGGGAGGGAAGGGAAAAAAAGACAAAAAAGAAAGAAGGCAAGTATGAATTTCAGTTCATAACAGGAAAAAGATTCATACATCTTTTTTGCTGGCTGTAAAGCAGAAGAGGAGGGGCACCTTTATATGAGAAAAAAAAATAAAATAAAATCCAAGAATGACGTTTCTACATATAGCCAAATCCTATGACAGATGACTGCTCAATGACTACTACTTAAGTCAGACTTGCCAACTAATTTAATCACAGCAATTATCCACTCATTACTCTAGTTAGACTGCTTGACCTTATTTGCCTGATCCAAAAACTGATTACAATTCCTGGGATTATCGAGTCTGCTGCAGTCCATGCTCCCTCCCCCATTCCAGAGGGACTAGACTACCTAAACACAGGCTCACATTCTCAGAAAAGCCAAGGTCTTAAGGTAAGATGTCAGAATTTATAGACATGACTAATTCTCTAAACCCCTACTGACCTTGTATTAGGTGCCAAGCCTCTTGGTGCCATTGAACACAGACAAGGGATTGCCATAATGCTCACATTCAGGAAGTGACCCTCAATTTTGTGCCATTGATCCTTGCTGCCTAAATATAACAGAGTAATTCTGTATTACTCCTGTTTAACCAGCCACAGTTCACTTTTAAATGATCATAAAAGCAAAAACTCACCCTTTTTTTTAACTGTCTCTTTCTTCTTTCTAAAAGGGTGGAAACATGTAGGTAAAATAATTTAAAGTCATTTTAGCACATTTAAACATCTACTTTTGAAAAAAAGTAAGATACTAATGGAAGTGAACAAACCAATAATACTGAGTCGAAGACTGCTCTGTAACAAATCCTCTATAGTCCCTAGGGGACATTTTACAAAGGGCAGAAGTCTGCAGTTAAAAAAAAAAACCCAAACATTTATTTTTACAAGATTGTTTTACCTGATGATCAAATTTGAACAAAATTAAAAATTTGTACAAATTTATCCTCAAAGACACATATTTTTGTAGCTTTGGAATTGTTTGACTCAGTTTCACTTACCCGTCATTCTCACGAGAGTCTTCCTGTGGAATTCGTAGAGGTAGAAATGATAATTCACATTCCTCTGGCCTAGAAAAGTATTGATATTTACTTTCATGTAAACCAATATTCTGACTACTAGACAGACTTTTATCCAAGTTAAGATGATTTTAAGGAGATGCTGAATATACAGAATTTATCTCCTCTTTAACTTGTAAGAGGGATATACATCACATCTGAGTTAAATCTGTCTGCAATTAAGAAGTCAAGATAGCTAAACTACTGTTGTCTATACTTTTACCACATTAATTACTGCATTTTCCTCAAGAAAATAAGGAATACTAGAAAAATATAACAGCTTCTGGCATACTTGAGATCTGCCAGTGTTTTGATAAAAGCAAAATCCTTCCGCTGATTGGAGGGCATCCAACGGTGTTTTTCAGCCAAAGCTAGAGTCCTTGCACCAAAACCAAACATAGCTGAGAACCCAAACCGCAACAGCTTGCTCGGAGTACTGAAAGTACAGACATCTACTGGTTGAATATGTCCTAAAATTTCAAAGATAAAGATCAAAAATTACAAATAACATCCGTATTTCAAATGGAATACAACTTACCATTTCTCTTCCACCTAATCTAGCTGCAGGAAAAAACTCCAGACTCATCTCTTTAGGAAGTCAAGTTTTACTAATGAAAATCAGAATCAATCTAGACATAATTAAGACACTATAAAAGTAGTCATTTCAGAGAACATTGTTCAGATGCTTCAACATGTTAAAGAAATTCTGGTGAAAATTCAGCTACTTCATCAGGATGTAAAGGGTCTGACTCTTAATTCTATTCAAATTTTCAACAATTAGTAACAAAGAAAATGTAATATTGCTACATAAGTATTTGCAAACATTTCACCAAATATTTGTAATGACTGAACATTGTACTGGAGGAGATATGTGTACTCTTAACTATAGGTTGTAAATGTATTTATGTTTACAGTTACAGAATTTAGACATCTAATTCTGTTCAAGATAGGGTATATAAATTTTTTCCGTAATAGAACCTGGGTGGTTTCCATTAGATTGAGTATCTCTGATTTAAAAAAAAAGATAGTTTTAGATTTTGCCTGTAACGGCTTGTGTATTACTACATAAGAAAGAGAGCAAAGGCTCTATTCACTGCTGACTGCAAGGTCTACAAATAGATACTCAAAATGGACATTCCCCATTATTCTCTTTTTTCATTTGGGGAGGCGGGGAAAAAGTGTACTAAAGAAAAATTGTTTTGAGAGGAATATTAACATTGCTCGACTAAATATTTGCTATTTCCTAAGACCTGAAAATAAGGTTTGGACTAGCAACCTAGTTTTTCCTTTTAGCATAATTACATTTTCATATTCAAAAACCTATTTATTGTGCAGAATGAATGGCAAGTGATACAGGTTTTTTCCTACTAATAAAGCTTTCTTATAGAAACTGTTAGTATTGAAAAGAAATACACATGGAGCTAAAAACATGCATGATACTTTCTCAGAAATATGACAATACTTTCCTGAAAAGTCCAATCCTAACCACTTCCTCAAGCTGAAAGTACTATATATTTTCCTTATTGTCTTCAGCAGGTACATTAAATGAAAATAATCAAGTGATTATGCAACCAATCATTGCATAATAGCACACACAGAGTAACACTATTCACACAATCAAGTCTGGAAAAGGTTACTTTTTGCATTAAAAGAATATCAGTGATAGGGCATGAATGCCAAAATCAGACATTATTCCATGGCAGATTTTTTTTTTTTTTTACCAGAAGATGAAGTCCACAACCCTTGCTACTGAACTACACTCAATGAATCAAACCTTCCCAGTACGCTATAAATCAGGATAGAATCATTTGGGTCTAAAAGTCTTACAATATAGTTTACAGTAATACAGCATAATGTTATGCCTTTATTAAACAACTGGTTATGGCAAACATCTAAATGCTGCTTTATTATTTAAAATTTGATAACATATGTAAAAATATTTACCCATTATAATGTGCAATGTTGCAGTCACTGCATGCTTAATACCATAGAGAGTATGAGCCAAAATATTAGTAGTACCTGTAAAAGTGAACACAAGCTGTTATAAAAATAAGAGACATACAGAATAACAAGAAAAAAAAAAACCACCAACATTTTTTGGATGAAGAAATTGAGACATTTACTGCATTTTCAAAAAAAGAAAGCCTCCCCACAAATCACTTAGTCTTGGTAACAGCAGAAATGCTGAACAGTACAAATTAAAATAATTAAAACTTCCAGAGGTCTATAAAATCTTCTCTGCAAATTCATTCATGAGTGCCATAAAAAACAAGAGGGGTGAGGAAAAAAAAAGCTTTGCAAAAATTGCCCTATACCTAAGTGCTGTACTGAGGAACTGTACTAGAAGGCAGATTATCTAATAAGATATATTTGGGGAATATTTTTAAGTTGGAAAAATAATATAATACTCAGCGAGTGTAAAACTCTACATTTCCCAGACAAAATTCTGCTAGATCTAGTCTAAGATAGCTGCTGTGCCTCTTGCAGGCTACATTTTAGATTCTTAGAAGCAATAGCAAATAAAATTAATTACTGCATGTCAGCTTTACGTATAACACATTCATGACTGAAAAACAGAGAGAACATAGAATCTGACATGTGTCTGACAAGTTGTTGACTTGCATTCAGTGCACTACAATTGACCCATCTAACTTGTCTTTGTCATTGCCTGGACATTGGCAGATGAGTTGTACTACTAGCCACTGGATAGAAGAGATTCATATATTTTTAAACAAGGGAATAAGTAGTAAATCAGCTGGTAAATAGAAAAAAAAAGTCAAAAACTAGCAGTATCAGCATGGAGTTGGACAAGAGAGTGGAAAAATAGTTATCAGTTTGTAAAAGTAAGAAGTATGGTTCTGAAGGCCCATGTTTGGTGGTGATTGGTGTCGTCACTTTACCTGTGTTAGAACCATGGATATACATGTAAATTTTGCCCTTCTGCTTTAACATATAGGACATAAAATACTGTGTATCTTCTGACTTTTAAATATCAATTTATTTTTAAAATCCTGAACAAGGAATGGTTGTGTCTTTCCTAATAGGGTAGAGTTTTAACAGAATTTCAAGCCGATTTTTCTCATTGATGACATCTCTGGTATTTCTTAGGCAAGCAGCAGAGCCATAGGATTCACTTCTGCAAAAATAAAGAACCAGGGCCTGCCACCAAGCAGGCAGAATATTGAGCTTCATATCACTGATTAAGGGATGAATAATTCAAGAACAGACTAATTAAAATAACAAAATTTACAAAAGAACAATTTAGAACCTAGATTTTCAAATAATTTTCCTGTTGCTTGAATTATTTAATATGTTTCAGCAGCAATAGACAATTCTGTATGCTAATTTTGCCTTAAGTTTTACAGAAGCGTTTAAACTTGTCTTTCAAAAGTGGGGGAGAGAAGAGAGGAACGGGAATGATTATGACATTTTGAACAAGAAGCACTCAATATTTAAACAAGCATTTTAAAATCATCATGTACTAGGCTGAAAAATTATGTTCATCCCAAAGCTCTACAATCTTTGATGTCACGTTAGTGGTAGAAAAAATACTACATTTGAAAAGACTGACGTACATAATTACAAAGCTCTTAAAGGCATCTTGTCATTCTTATTTAGGAGTATATGCTTTGATTTTTTTTCAATAATTTCTCTGAATAAGAATTTGTAAAATAACTAGGAATTGTATCTCAGTATGTCACAGAGCACCTGTTACATTCTCAGAGCACTTTAGTCTCCGAAAGTAATTCAGAACCTCATGGAAAGCCTTCATAACATCAGAGAGAGGAGCTCTGGGTAAGGCTCTCAGGGTTCCTATTTTGTGAAGGAAATAAGTGAAGTACATCTATTACGAAAACAGATATAAAACATTCTGTGAAGTTTACATCTCCAGTGGTACCTGGAAGAAATCAGGTTATGTACAGATTTGTTCTTTGAATAATTCAAAAAGAAATGTAATTTCATTCCCATATTTCTCAGAATTTTATAGGTGACTATACTATTAATTTCTTTCTCCTTTTCCTAAAAAATGTAATGTTTAAATAAATCCAGCAAATTGGGATTATGAAGTATTTTGAAAGAAGAATAAACCGACAACTTCAAAAGCTAAATGCAAGTCTTCACTTTTTTTCTCCCAACAGAAACTCTCTCTAGACACACTAACAGGAAGTCCAGCTTACTAAGAGAATATTACAATTTCAATAATTTGTATCCAATAATTTACATCCAAGAACTCAAATAAAAGTAATTTGAACTTTCCTTTCTGTACAATACCCATAAAAGGGCAAAATTGTAGCTCTAGATACCATTTACTATGCAAAATAGTGAGTTTTTCAATTCAGTGAACATAAAATACAGTTCCATAAGGAAAATTCAGGGACAAAAAAATTACATTTGACCTAAAAAGCAATTCTTCACAGAATAATACAAGCGTATGTCCAACACCATCTCACGTTTGAATGACTTATGAGATTTAACCTCTAGATCCAACTAGTTCTGCTTAGCCAGTGAAGCTAGCTAAAGAAGTAACTCAAAAATACTCAAATATTTCCTTTGATCAAATTTTTGCAACTCTTATCAACTTTTATGGGTACCTCTCCAAAACAAAGGCAATCACATACACAAGCAGCAGATCATTACAAGTCATGCAAATCGAGTTTACTTCCTGTAAACTGACAGCAGGGAAGTTGTTATTCTGTAAAAAAAATATTTTTCCTTGTTACTGAAGACCAAGCTAACAAAAAGCAAGGTGGAATATACTTATGAAGATCAGGCTTGGTATGTCTTAAAACTGGGATTCCTCATTTAAGTAAGAGTAATTTATCAATACAGATGGCAGCAAGGTAACAAATGACCACGGCTGAAGTCAATACCAATCTTCATACTGACTTTAATGAGAGTTAAATCTCATTCCTACTAAACAGAATAGGCACAAGTAATTTCATCCTTCTCTCAAATCTGTGGAACTCCTTAACATTTGCAGAAGTAAACAAGGCAAAACTCCACCCTTTCATGACTCCTGGGAAAATAAAACAAATTCTGTCTGTGTTCAAAAACAGAAGTACCACATCCACCCTTCCACAAGTTGAAGATCTAGCACAAGCACAGTTTTGCAGTAGCAAGTATCATCACCACCTCCAAAAAAACCTCTTAAGACCTGCCTAACAGCATTTTGATCCCAATAATGACTGAATAATGTGTCTCACTACCTAGGTCCTATACAAGTAGGATGCCACAAAAAAAAAAAAAAGCTTATAAACAGTGAAAACAATGAAAGTTATCATACAAAAGAAGTTACAATACAAGCTTTGCTGATTTAAGCGGTGATTCAATAATAATGGTTTTAACACCATTATTCATCTTCCCAAGTCCTCTTTTCACCCCCTGTGTAAGCTCGGAATATTATTTACCAATAACACTACCATATTACTTCAGAGACTAATAACCTTCTTTGATGCTCATGCATGGGCTTGCACCCCTCGCAGATTACCAACAGTCACATTTTTAGATCTCACTTCAACTACTCAATTTACTGTAAAAAGGTTTCATCCATACAACTCCAGCATCTCCATCACCAGCATCTTTTTTTTAAACAGAAACAAAGATTTTATTATTCCAAAAATATAATTCTGTTCAAAATATTAACCCATTTTCCTGACACTACAAACAACTTCCTACAACCTCCCTCCTATGAAATGTGCAAAAGCATCACAGTAAGGACAAAGTATTTGCAGGTCATGTAAAGCATGACTGATGAAGGTACCAAACAGAAAATGTAGAGAAAAAAATTGTCCTTGGAAGTGCAAGCACTTCTGCAGTACAATTAACTTAATTAACCAGACAACATGAATATTCATAAGGCTGTTAATGTCTCCCCCATCCAAACAGATAAATGTGATGTAATGACTTCCTAGTCAAGCATAGCTAAAATTCTGATGAAAACTGCACCAACATTTTGGTTCTTTGCCTGAAATATCACAGAAATTAAAAGTCCCTCAGTAATATTTTATTTTCTGAATTAACTGGAAACCATGAATTTATTTAAACGACTTATTTAGGACCAAAGGGTTCACAGCCATCAGATACAGATTGTCTCTTGTTCTGTAACAACTGGATAGCTTTTTTTATGTCCTTCCAGTTCCCCCTCCCCTTTCTCCCATTCCCCTTCCATACAGTTTCTTAGCAGTAGTTCCCATAGCAACAAACACACTTGCTAATGGCCAGCAGTACAACTGCAGGCTTCCCCACATCTCTTCCATTTGATTTGGACCAGAATAAGGCAGCTCAGTAGAGTATTTTAGTAAAAAAACACTCCCCTCTGGACTTTTCTCTTCAGGAGGTAAACTGTTTCAAGAGCAGTTCCTTCCCATCATGTTGGCTGAAACTTCAAAATGCTGTCTTAACTACTTACAATAGAGGCTAAAACCAGATTTTAAGCAACTCAAATAATGCTACCCTGTAATACAGTTTCTATTTTCACTCAGCTGGAGAAGCCTAATAATTTGGTACAATGGATGGGGGGGGCGGAATTAATTGACCATTGAGTTCCATCTTCTTCATGTACACAAGTACCATACTTATCTGTTTCCTGACTACTTTTTGGAACATCAATAATATGGAAATAAAATAAGATATAGATTATTTTTAAGAACTTATTAAGGCATTTCTCACACTATCATTCTATAAATCGTTCTGACCCTCTTTTAACAAAGTTTATGGCATTCTGTGTAAAAAGCGGTATAGCATTATTTTGGGCTTACAAATCCTTTTTGATCATGATGTATTTGTCTTAAACTGAAGAGAGTAAGGACTAATGATGAGGTGCTGTGACCTAAGCATGCCTAAACAGCATGGAGTCAAGTGCTGGAGAAATTTCGTCTCAACACCATCAAGATACGCACAGCAACTGAACTGATAAGTGATGGTCCAACTGCTGTACTAAAATTCATTTGCTTCAGGTCTTTGAGATTACTACATCTTATAGCAATACATTTCCAGGGTTTTTTTAACTTGAAAAAAGCTAGTGTAGTCGTTCATTTTTACAAGCAACTAGTCCCTGTCTTAATGTTGCTTTTAGAAGTGCAAATCAAGTCAGAGCACTTACATCAAGTAGTCACATCAACATCCACACCAGAGGGTAGTGTCCATGTAAAAATACCCCTCCTCTTTTAAAGAGAAGTGATTCATATACCAGTCCAGAATCAATCCTGCCTGTACTAATTCTAGCTAAGCCTCCCTGCCTGGCCCAAGTTATACTCCAAGAAGGGCAAATACAAAAATTGTGAGGAGAAGGGAAACACAGGCCATCCTCCAAAACAAACCAACCAACAAACCCACCGGCACCACAAGATGCAAGTACAAGTTAATAAAGGAGCAAGAGGATTTTTCCAAGAGAGATGCATATATCTACTTCTGTAGAAGTAAAGGAGAGAGAAAGCAATTTTATGTGCACAGTATTTTTTTTTCATATAATCCACAGAACGTATTCTTGGGACACCATTTAAAAATAGACCCTAAGCACAAATCCAACTGAGAATCCTGCTGAGAAAACTGGACAGAGAAGCGAAACAGTATGGCTTATATTAAGGAAATTCTAGAAAACAAAGTTTTCATTTGGTATCATTTCTGGTAGCAAATAAGGACAAAGCTTGATCTTTGCGTGGACCAGCTGAAAATTATTTTAATTTTCTTCTTCCTGACCTTCTTCCTTTAGGCAAAGAGCTCATCTGTGCCATTACTATAAATTATCATAATTATTTAAAACCTAGTCATTTGTAATCAATCTAAATCACTAATTTAGGACATTTATTCAATAGCTCCCTTAAGTAACTGAAGCTTTAACACCAAGAACAGCCTTTAGTAGCCAAAACTGTAAAACATGCCAGAGGGACTTAAAACAGATGACTTATAAAATGTAACAATACCTTTTAGTCTCACCTGCTGGTATTACTCCAAGAGGAACCGGTGCTCTGACAGGCATTGATACATAGTCGGTGTCTTTTCCAGCATCTATCTGGGCTTTAAGTAGTAGACCATGAGCAACTTCGCTGACGGATCCATCTCCACCAACACAAACTACCCTGTTACAAAACAAAAATGCTAAACAGTTCAAAATAAACTCTTCCATAGCTGAGCAAACAAGTGGAAGGCAGCTATCACACACCATATACATAATGATATTTCAAATAGCTAAAAAACATTCTTTAACAACAAGTGAGGGCTTCACTGTCAGATCAGTGAATGTTAACTAACAAGATATAAGCATCCTTATTTCTGCTTTCTTGTATCACAGGAGTAAATACATTTAACAACTTACAAAGTATTTCTTATCTTACACATGTTATTCACGTGAACTAATCAGATGGATGAGTTAAGCACATGCTCAAATACCTCAGTGGAAAAGTTCTTTAAACCTTTCAATGCTGACCCACACAAGCATTTCAATGCTTTTTAATTGCCCTTATAACAACAACTCAACAAATACTAGAATAAAATTAAAAATACTTGAAAACAGCTAATTCCACATACTAGGCAGGCAGCTGAGGGATTTAGCAAGGTATAAAACCCTAGTGCCAGCAATCCTTTGCATGAAGGTACTTAATCACTGCTTCTGGAGCATGTAATTAAACTCCCACCTGCTGTGGCTATAGAGAGGAATGCATTTGTCTGTAAAAGCTCTGTTACAGCAAACGTTGGGTTGGGGTTTTTCTGCTATTGTTTATTTAAGTAACTATTAAAGTGATTCTCCAAATCAGTAATGTTTGAAAGTTAAATGTTTTTAAGGTAAACACATTTTAATGATAAAAATAGTAATAGTACACTCCAAGCATTTACAATACAAATATGAGATTTAGTTTAGGAGGCATTTATAAAAGCTCTGTTACAGCAAACGTTGGGTTGGGGTTTTTCTGCTATTGTTTATTTAAGTAACTATTAAAGTGATTCTCCAAATCAGTAATGTTTGAAAGTTAAATGTTTTTAAGGTAAACACATTTTAATGATAAAAATAGTAATAGTGCACTCCAAGCATTTACAATACAAATATGAGATTTAGTTTAGGAGGCATTTATATGAAAAAAAAAAAAAAATTTTAAGTATCTATATGAATGCAGTTGTGAAACGATGTCCAATAATTCAATCAGATAAAACTGGTAAGCTTTTTATAAGAAAATACTCATTAATTTATAAAATGTTTAAATTAAATTATCTCAGCTTCTTTAACATTTTTCTTCAGTTCCTACTATTATTTCCTAGCTATTTTTTAATTTCTAAATTTTTAGGAATGTTTCCTCTATCAAGCTAAACACTGCCCACATTAATAAATAAACAAACAAATAAATAAAATAGTATATAAAGTAAAAGTTTGGAGCACATTTTCATCCTGCTCGGAATCAGGAATAATTCCTGTCTGTTGTATAATTTTTGGTTTTGATTGGTTTATTCCTGCACTTAAAAGTTTCTGCCACAGCAGCAAAACCAGTTAATCTTTGTAGTCTCATAAATTGTACACCTGGAAGGACTTATGTGGATTGTCTTCTGGCTATTAAAACTTTTGAAAACAGATATATTTTCTTCTGATTTTGGGGGGCTGTGTTTGTTATTATTGGAAATAGATGAAGAGTCCAAGGAACATAAAAATGCTGCTAACTTTAATTTTTATTAATTTAGCATTAATCATCAAGAGTTGCCTTTTTGGCTGGAAATATGAGATACGTCATGGACCAGGGATTCCAAAGGTAATCAGCGAGAACCTGCTACGCGTAAGGAGTAGAAAGTCTTGAACAAACAGATTCGACTAAGACCTTGAAGAAGGCTTCTTAGAGGAAGAAATATCAGTCTAACCACCAGACACAAGTTTCTTAACCAACTATTCACTAAAGTCTGGCTACTAAATGATATCTGTAATACCTTGGGCTCCTGATTAGGGAAGAAATACATGCATGTATATTGTGTGTTTCTGACACTGTACAAATAAGAAAATGCAGCTGAGATAGCAGCATCACAAAAGCACTCTATTTATCACCAAGGCTTGGCCGCAAGGTGGGGGAAAAAAGCACACTGCCAAGTAGGCAAAGTACCTAAATTTGCAGTGTCGGTAAGGGAAAAAAAAGTGGATAGCAAAAAAGGTGGAGTATACGAGATACACAACATATGCCTGTGATCTTGCAAAACAGAGTGGGAACTGGAGAAATCAGAGAAAAGAAATTATATACAAACAGCTTTGACAAAGAATTAAAACATGGCAGTATTGCTTACAGAAAGCACTGAGATACAAACTTCCAATTTACTACTGCAAATCATAAACTTCAATTTACTTCATATGCTGTTTAACATGTAAGGAACCATTACTCTCTTAGGGAGAAATTCAAGATCAGAAATTGTATGTTGCTATACTGTTTACAGAATCACAGAATCGATTTGGTTGGAAGAGACCTCTGGGATCATCGAGTCCAACCTTTGCCCTAACACCATCATGTCGACTAGACCATGGCACTAAGTGCCACGTCCAGTCTTTTCTTAAACACCTCCAGGGACGGTGACTCCACCACCTCCCTGGACAGCCCATTCCAATGCCTACTGACCCTTTCTGTGAAGAAATGTCTCCTCATTTCTAGCCTGAACTTCCCCTGGCGCAGTTTCAGACTACGCCCTTTTGTCCTATCGCCAGTTGCCTGGGACAAGAGGCTGACTCCAGCTTCACTACAACCTCCTTTCAGGTAGTTGTAGAGAGTGATAAGGTCTCCCCTCAGCCTCCTCTTCACCAGGCTAAACAACCACAGCTCCCTCAGCCACTCTTCATGGGACTCAGCCTCGAGACCCTTCACCAGCTTTGTTGCTCTTCTCCAGCACCTCAATGTCTTTCTTGAAGTGTGGGGCCCAGAACTGGACACAGTACTCAAGGTGCAGCCTCACCAGTGCCGAGAACAGGGGCACGACCCCTTCCCTAGTCCTGCTGGCCACACTATTACTGACACAAGCCAAGATGCCATTAGCCTTCTTGGCCGCCTGGGCACACTGCTGGCTCATGTTCAGCCGGCTGTCAACCAGCACCCCCAGGTCTTTTTCTGCTTGACCACTTTTTAACCACTCTTCCTCCAGCCTGTAGCGTTGCATGGGGTTATTGTGGCCGAAGCGTAGGACCTGGGACTTGTTCTTGTTGAGCCTCATGCCCTTGGTCTTGGCCCGTCTATCCAGCCTATCCAGGTCACTCTGCAGAGCCTTCCTACCCTCCAGCAGATCAACACTCCCGCCTAACTTGGTGTCATCTGCAAATTTACTGAGGGTGCCCTCAATCCCCACATCCAGATCACCTATAAAGATGTTGAACAGCACCAGCCCCAAAACTGAGCCCTGGGGAACACCACTAGTGACCAGCCACCAACTGGATTTAGCTCCATTGACCACAACTCTCCGGGCCTGGCCATCCAGCCAGTTTTTTTACCCATCAAAGAGTCCACCTATCTAAGCTGCGAGCAACCATTACATTACCTACTGTAATGAATAAAAAACTCTTGTGTGTTGCCCTTTATACATTTTTACTTGAATTAGGTTTCAGCCAATCTGAAAGAGGCAACACTTGAAAAGCATGAGCTGAGTTAGAGCAGCAGGCTAAAGCATGCAGGCACAGCCTTCAGTCCACACCTAATTCACCTTCAGCCACTTCAGAGCTTGGGCAAGGCAGGTCAGGTCTACATGAAGTCTGCCATGTAGAAATAGCACAAAAACTACCTTACCTCTTACCACCACATACAGTGCCTGCACATCTAAAAGGAGGTACAGAAGTGCTATTCTGTTTTCTAAATGGGGAACTGACAGATATGGTGTCCCGACTTGAACAAAACTGGACAGAAAGCCAGGGCAAAACAGGAAAGAACTGAAGCCTGCCAAGTCACAAGCAATGCCGCTCAATAAACAAAACTTCTCAAGAATTAATGGAAATAGTGAAAAGACATCGTGTCAGGTGGCCACTAGAATTGCTAAAAGCATGTTTTTTCATTAGTAGGACAATTTCATTGTTGTGGAGTTAATTTTCAATTCAAACCAGATCCCACACATTTTCTGGTTTAATTTTCAATAAACCAAAATTGTCATTAAAATTTTATTTGAGAAACACTGAGGTGGTTTTGGGGGCCTATAAGATAGTTATATCTATGGCAAAAATTCTTAGGCTAGACAGCAATGAGGAAGTCACAAAGGACTTCACAGGAACATAATCCAAAGTACACCATAAACCTTTAAACAATTTGAAAAAGAAAATCTCAGTTTCAAATATTGTCTTCCTGTTCTTAAGAACAACTCCAAACATAATGGAGAAGAGAGAGACTAGTGATGTTTTGTAGCTTTCTTTTTCAAAGTATCAGGCCTTTAGCATAATATGCATGCTGACCTCATCCTATCAGACTCTGTAGATTTTAACTGAAAATAACAATTAAGATATCTCTAGCTACATTGGCATAAACAGTTACCCTTGCAACTCACCTTCCTTATGATCTTATGTCAAAAAGCATCCCAAGTTAGCTATTTAATAGAATGTATTTCTGTATTGTGCTTTATTGAATGAGTACATAGATGGAGGCCAGGCTATTTAAGAAGTTATAAAACTCAGTTTTCAAACACTTCAGAAATTTCATTTTTGCTCATAACCTCTGATAATAAAAGCTACTTAATTTCCACACGAGAAAAAACCAACACCACCACTTAAAGAGCTAACTTAGAAAGGACAAGGATCTTTCCACCTCAGAAATCCTAGCATCATATTGACTTAAGGGTTACTTTCTTCCCGCTTCTATTTGTCCTGAGTTCTGGCTACTGGAGAGAAGTCTTACAGGGGAAGTACTCCAGTGACTCTACCCAATGATCAAAGCTGAAACAACTCAAATATGACTCAGAGTAGAAGGGGCTTGTGCAAGAAGATACAACCCAGGCTTTTTCTTCTCTGTCTTCATATCTGCTTCCCAGGACCAACTGGTTCCCCAGCTAGCACCCCAAAAGGCACGTCTGAATTCGAAAGAAATTATCCTCACAATCTGGAATACATATCTACATTTTCAGATATATTTTCTGACCTAACCCTGTGAGTTTCTAGTACTAATAGAAATTGATTAGACTACAAAACACTATTTAAGCCTTCTTGTATGGCTCACTGCATATTCCAATACGAGCTGTAAGAATGCTGTAAAACTTCCACAGTATGCAAAACTATTCTTATATATTAGTGAATGATTAATGTAAAAATACCAAAGACTGAAGGATTAACCCACATAGCAAGGTCTTTAATAGTGACTGAACAAGCATTTTCGCTCTTGACTTCAGGTAAGTTTGAATGATTTGGGTTTTTTAGTGGAAAAAATATTCAAGTTACTTTTAGATAAAATGTTCTCCTTAAGAACGATTTGAATGGATAGAGAGAAACGCAAGACACTTGTGCCATTCTTGCAAATACAGAGATGAAAGCTTTCATGAAGCATATTTAAGAAAGCTTTATGTTTGTTTACCATTATTGATGAATCTAAAATACATACCTATTGTCAGTAAGTAATAAAAAACAAAGCATCTAATGAGAATTGATTTTCTCAGACTTAATGTATATATGAAATAGAGTAACTCATGAAATACCTACTAGCATAGTTTTGAATGGAATACGAATAAAACCTAATGTGATGAGGTTTACTAACCTTCATTGTCACTAACCAACTTACCCATCAAATGCCTGGAGTTCACATTCTTTAAGTACTGAGAGAGCATGTCCTTCGTACTCGGTTACTGTGGAAAATAACATTATTTCATTATCAGAATATTAGATAATTTAAAAGGTTTTTTTGGTTTTGTGTGGGTTTTTTTAATTATTTTTTGCCCTTCTAATGTAAGGAACATACAGTAATTCAGTTCAGATTATTTTTTAAAATCATTAAATGCCTTAAAAGTATGAGAATGTATGTTTTACAGTTATGCTAACTAACAGACATGACACATTAAAACTCAGCTGCCACCAGACACATGGCTATTTAGTGCATTTAAATTCAGAGAATCAGAGAAGATGTTTGTTGCATGAAAATGCAAGTTTTGGCATTGACACAGTTGGTAAACCTCAGGAAAATGTAAGCATATCCGCAGTTAAGACTGAATTATTTCAATATCAATCAAATTTAATTGCCTTTGTGTTAGGATATGCAAATTGCTAAATCAAAAATATGAGGAGTTAAACACAGAAGTATGAAATCAAGCCAAATACCAGTGACAACAAAAGATAACACACAGAGGAAGGTGGCACAAGTATACACCAGAGTTCATAGCCTCTGGAGGAAATGAATCTGTCACTCTACATTGATGTCTCTGTGTTTGCTGATACCCTATATAGTACTGTAAATGCCAGTGAAGACAGGATAAACTGGCATACTACAGATGGCACAAAGCATCATAACTACATTTAGCATTTTCTAGGCCAGCTTTGCCAGAAGAGACAGCCCAGCTGCAGCCACCCATCAAAGATTTTTGCTGACTGACATGACACTTGCAGATGGATTTTTTGTGTAAGAATGTGCATCATTATATGCAAAATTACATTAATCTTTCATGCTTGTCTGTCCCTGGTGCTAGCATAGTTCAAGGCTTTTCTCCAGTGTTTCTAAACACTGTTAAAATTATTAGTCTTGGTGTCTAAAACAATCATTCTGTATCTGTACCTGTTATAACAGTATTTCTACAGGCTATTTAAATGCTGCTTACAAGAACCGAAAACACCTCTTTCTCTCCCTATATATACATATATATCACACACAAGAATGTGTGTATATATAGTGAGTATACATATAACTTCTTTTTTTAAAAAA